AAAAAAAAAAAAAAAGACAGGGTTTAATATTTACTTAGTATTCAGATAAAATACTAAAAGTAAGTTCTCAAAGTTTCCTAATTTATATTCAAAATTTGTCTACTGCAAGAAACATAGCTTCCTAGAAAAGACAGATGGATTCGAGTGATAAAACGTTTCTACCACCAACGCTTCAACATTGAAACGTATGGTCCAGAGTTAGTTTGTCACTCTGATGAGACATTACAAAATATATGCTCTCTCAAAGCTAACTGCAAGAAAAAAGATTTCTTAAAAAGTTATCAAATTCTATTAACAATTGTCTGAACTAAATTACAATCAAAAGAGGAAAATACAGCATTTCTATATTTCATGGAAATGTTTTATACCCATTGAATAAGAAGTGAAATGTTACCCATGGGAGACAAATACTTTGTCAGCTAAATAGGATATTATCACTGAAACTTTGTTTAAAACAGTTAAATAAAGATTAACTGATTTATGTGCTTCTATTTGGGTATATGCCAGATTTTTGCCTTCTAAGGCTTGAGAATTAGGTGAAAGAATACAACAGTTAAAAACGTGGCTTTCAAGGAAGCTCACTTAAAGATTTTCATAGAATTAATAAAAATATCATTTATAAGGTTGTACTGCCTTTTCCTTCTACATGTAATTTTAAAACATTGATGATAGGTAATAATTCTTCTTTTTTTTGAGACGGAGTTTTGCTGACTCCAGGCTGGAGTTTTGCTGGCTCCAGGCTGGAGCGCAGTGGTGCGATCTTGGCTCACTGCAACCTCCTACTCCCTGGTTCAAGTGATTATCTTGCCTCAGCCTCCCGAGTAGCTGGGATTACAGGCACACACCATCATGCCCAGCTAATTTTTGTATTTTTAGTAGAGACGGGGTTTCACCAGGTTGGCCAGGATGGTCTCCATCTCCTGACCTTGTGATCCGCCTGCCTCGGCCTCCCAAAGTGCTGGAATTACAGGCGTGAGCCACCACGCCCGGCCTAATTGTGACTAATGATCACCAGCATATGAATAAACTTGAGAAAAGTCCTAAATTTGTTTTTGTGACTATTCAAAATAATGCATACACAGACAACTCAATGAGTCGTACAAAACTGTATAGCTCTGAGATAGTTAAGAAAGTCACGTTAAGCCAGTTATAAACTAACTTAACAGATTGTTTAAAGTATCTTCATCATATTGTCAGAGGAGATGGAGTGGAGCAGAGAATAACATAGTTCTCCTCTTTTCTCTCTTCACCCACATCCAGGGAAGAAGGTTATGGGGTAATAAAGGCTGAAACAATGGAACAGCTGGTGGCCACCTAGGCTTTCTAAAATTGGAACAATAGCCAGTGACGAATGAGAAGTTTACATGACACCAGGTTGACACGTGCAGGCAGCATGGATAGGGACCTCGGTCTAGGATCGTTCTTTCCAAACACTGCTCACACAGACGTGCAGTAAAAGTAATAGGTAGAGAGGGGCTCATTACACTCTAGTTCTGTAGACGTTTGCTGTTTTCTTGTAATATGAAGTTAGAGCAGGATGGTTCCATGATATACAAAAGCTAGTTTAAAAAAAAAAAAAAACTTTTTTTTTTTTTGAGACGGAATCTTGCTCTGCTGCCCAGGGTAGAGTGCAGTGGCACGATCTTGGCTCACTGCAACCTCCGCCTCACAGGTTCAAGCAAAATATCCTGCCTCAGCCTTCCGAGTAGCTGGGATTACAGATGCCTGCCACCGCACCCGGCTAATTTTTGTATTTTTAGTAGAGATGAGATTTCACCATTTTGGCCAGGATGGTCTCGAACTCCTGACCTCGTGATCTACCCACCTTGGCCTCCCAAAGTGCCGGGATCAGAGGCGTGAGCCACTGCGCTCGGCCACAAAAAACTTCTTTTTTTTTTTTTAAAAAAAGGGTGGGTCACAGGTGACCCTGCATTAGTCACAGGTGAAAAATGCAGTTCAAGGGCAGACATGGTGGCTTACACCTATAATCCCAGCATTTTGGAAGGCCAAGGTGGGAGGTTCACTTGAGTCCAGGAGTTCAAGACCAGCCTGGGCAACATGGAGAAACCCGATCTCTACAAGAAATACAAAAATTAACCAGGTGTGGTGACATGCGTCTGTGGTTCCAGGGCCTCAAGTGGGAAGATCATGTGAGCCCAGGAGGTTGAGGCTGCAGTAAGCCGTGACTATGCTACTTCACTCCAGCCTGGGCGACAGAGTAAGACCCTGTCTCAGGAAAAAAAGAAAAAAAAGGAAAAAAGAAAAGAAAAAAGGAAGTTCATTCATTGGCCTTGTATTTATCAGAAATGATTCTCAACAACTCTTGCCTGTTTCCAGAAGCAACAACCACCCTCAAGGGACCAAATCTGGCACCATGAAAGATAATGGCAATTCCAAACTAAGAATTCTTAAAAACATTTTGAGCAATAGCTCAGAAAAAAATACCACTTTAAAATAACTTGGAAGGGGATGATATATTCAGATGTATTAGTTCTGAGATGTTAGGTGACTGGGTTTTATTATAATTTTTCAGAGCTATCATATATTCCTTTTACTTCCCTCAATAAAATAAAAATGACAGTGCATTAGTTCAAGCCAGAAACAGGAATTAGTATAAATTAGTAGGAATTTGCATAAATTTCTATAATATCCCAACGGATCTATATAGTGGTATACTTCTAATGGTCAATGGACAAATTCCATATACTCAAATATAATCTTATTAGTAAAGTACATTTTAACAGATATGGGCAAAGACAGCTGTGCACAGTGGCTCATGCCTGTAATCCCAGCTCCTTCAGAGGCTGAGGCATGAGGATCACTTGAGCCCAAAAGTTCAAGTCCAGCCTGGGCAACATAGCAAGACCCTGTCTCCTAAAAAAATAAAGATACAAAGAAAATCTCTTGTTTTGAAAAAATCTAAATGTCACAAGTTTTAATTTTAAAACAAGTTATAAAAAATATTTATCTTAGTTAGCTTCAAATTTCCAATAATATGAACTCAGTGGAAATTAAAAGCAGATAAGATACCAAGGATCACAGTTCAAAGACCATCCTGCGTTCTCTGATGACACACTGCTATTCCTGTACTCTTATAAAGGCCACTTCCTGTCCCATTTAACTACTGAAAGTGTCCAAATTATTTTTATTCTAGAATTTTCATATTCTGAAAATATATGGGTTATCAGTGGGGAACTAACAATCATGATTGAAGAAAGACTGTAAGATATTTATACACTAACTTTATTCTCAGGAAAGCAAAAACTTTAAGACAAATCAGGGATAGTATCTTTTTAACCCCAGAATCCCCTAGAATCTAGCACAGTACTTGGCATATAATGGGTGTTTCATGAGTTTATGTGTGCTGCATGAAGTAAAATTTGAACTTCCTGGGGTTTTGCACAAGGCTGCTGTCATTTGGAATGCTTAAAATAAGCAGTCTTTCTTATAAACTTACATTATTATAGCTAAACCTTTACCTCTAAGACATGGAAAGTCCTACAAGATGCGATGTGTCTCTTCAAAGTGGCCTTTCTTGATAAAAGGCATTATTTCTTAAATCTTACTTAGATGCACTTTAGATAAGTCTAACATAGCATTTTAAAACCAAAGGCGTTCTCATTATGACGTGTTTCCATCTAGCTCCTGACATGAAAGCATTTAAAAATTTTTTTTTTAGGTTCAGTATCAAATATTTCATGGGAAAAGAAAATTCCTAGAACTCTCAGTTTTGGTCATTAACTTCATACCTCTCTTTGCAAGCTTTAAACACGGTACAGCAGAAAAAGCATGGGGTTTGGAGTCTGGGTTCTAGTCCAGCTCTGCCACTTACCAGCCATGTGACTTGGGGCAAGTTCAGTTTCCTCATCTGTAAAATGGGGATACAGTATCTCATTTAGTACTCACAATAAACCCTATAATGTATGTCAAAGTGTCTAGCACAGTGCCTGGCACATGGCAGGCACTCCACAAATGTTAGTTCCCTTCCTCTTCCCCTCCTTAAGTTCTGAAAGACAATGTTCCAAATTATGCTTACAATGTATATTAGTTAAAACGCATATAACATCCATAAACCCATTTCCCCCTGGAATTTCCCTTCTAACAAACCCAAGGAATCAAAATTTATGGCTCTTATTCCTTATTTTGTTAAAGAATATGCCTATTAAAAACTTATAAAATTATATATCATTATATTCCTTTAGAGAATATATTATTAAAGATAATGTAAGATGTCCTTTTCAATGTATGCAATCATTTATGATAGAACCTCGAATGGCCAAAGATATACTCTCATCAGACTGGAAAGAAGAAAACTGAAAAAAAACCTCAAGTGAGAGTAGGAAACAAAGAAATAAATAAGAAACCCAGCCAAGTACCTATGTTGGTAAATTCCAAAGTGAAATGATTTCTCAGCACTCCAAATGATGGTGATTTTATTCAATTGTTTATTTATTAAGATATCTCTAGTACTGAGCACAAAGACTGAATAAAAAACATTTTCGTATAGAGAGTTCCTGCTTTCATACGCCATTTCACAGCATGGCACTAATCCTAAATACACCTTTAAGTAAGCAGCAGAGGTTAACTTAGATGTCACACTTCTAAGTCGGGGGCTTCTATCCCTAGCTCTGGTAAGCTGCTGACATCATCACCACTGCTGTGGTTCTCTTCCTCCCTACCACCACCTGCTCCTAATACCCAGATCCTACATTTCCGTGCCTGGTGTCCCACACTGCCAAAAACGTTCCCTTCTCCGTGAAAATTAAATCCTACATAAAAATAGCTATTTAAGCACTGATCATTTTCAAATTTGCTACAATCACTGTAACACATAGACCGCATAGATAACTCACCAAAATCTTTTCAGCTTTGAGGTGTAATTGACAAAAATTGTATATACTCCAAGTGTACAATGTGATGCTTTCACATATGCACACATTATGAAATTATTATCACAGTCCAGCTAAGTAAGTTATACACAAAGGACCTTTTAAAGTTGTTTAGTATGTGAAAATCTATGAGTCAGTCTATAAAAAAGATGGGAAATTATGAACACTGAAATTTAATGTTCCATATAATAGCAAATATATGCTCTGTTGTTCTCTAAGAGTAATAAAATTCAATTTTAGGCTATACAAAATTCAATTTTAGGCTGGCTGTGGTGGCTCATGCCTTTAATCCCAGCACTTTGGGAGGCTGAGGCAGGTGGATCCCTTGAGGTCAGGAGTTCAAGACCAGCCTGACCAAATGGTGAAACCCTGTCTCTACTAAAAATGCAAAATTAGCCAGGTGTGGTGGTGGGCGCTTGTAATCTCAGCTACTTGGGAGGCTGAGGCAGAAGAATCACTTGAACCTGGGAGGCAGAGGTTGCAGTGAGCCAAGATCACGCCACTGTACTCCAGCCTGGGCAACAAGAGTGAAACTCTGTCTTTAAAAAAAAAAAAAGCCATTTTAATGACTTAAAATGATGCTAACCTAACCTCATTTTATATGTTTTATAAGCAGTGTGTAGCAGCATGTACTCACATGACACTGCATTCGTGTGTCAATGTCAGGTGAGTTTTGAGGAGTCACATTAATATGCTATGAACAGAACCCGAGGATTCTGAAGACTCGAACAGGTTCACTACTTGCTAGCTTTGTGAAATTGGAAGTCATTTACCCAGTCTGACCCGGGTGTAGCTGGGCATGTATCAGTGAGAATGCCTGTAAACTGCCTTTTTTAGCATTTGAACATGGTTTCCTAGTGAGGCCTACTTGATACCTTAACCTGTATGTCCAGATGTTTCTGTGTCACTCACAATCTGATAGTTTCTTTGACAGCACTTGCTACAGTTTGTATTCATGTTTATTTGTAACATTAAATGATTTTTTTAAAGTTTACATAAAGGCAAAGTATAATTATTTTATTAGAATATAAATGAATAAATA